TTTACTAATTTATCGTTAATTATATGATTATCCGTTAACTTTTCCGTTAAATATTATATTCTCCGTTAATTCTGTTAGTTAACTTACTCATTGATTTCAATAAGAAAGGCCTTAGGTTCGAACCTCATCCCAATCAAAGTTGGCATAATTAGTACTCTATTTTACTCTTATTAAATTAAATAATAATTTAGTAGCTACAACAAAAAATAATAAATATGCATTTTTTTAATTTAGAATTATGGGTCTACAATGTCGTTATTCAAAAAAATTTATTCAGTATCAATAAATTGAATAAGAGAAATAATTTCATTAGTTATATTGTCGTTATTTTTCTACAATATAAAAATTCTTTACATTCAAATTCATCAATTGATTATATTCGCTACATTGTCCCTACAATGTCTTTGTTCAAAAAATATTATTCATTATCAATAAATTAATTAAGAGAAATAATTTCATTACTTATATTGTCTTTATTTTTCTCCCATGTAAAAATTCTTTACATTCAAATTCATCAATTGATTATATTCACTACATTATCTATTATCTTTTCTATGCACTATTTTTTTAATTAAATATCAAAGTTATAATATAAAATAATATTTATTTACCAAGTATTTTATTAATACCATGAAAAAATTAAAAAATATATAATTAAGCCAATTATATTAACTACTTGAGGGATTTGTTGACAAAGAGAGTATTCAAATCACACAACAAATTGAAGTGGGAAACTATCTCGCAATGTTAGCGGATTATATTAGCGGATTTTACCAGCGAATTATATTAGCGGATTTGACCAGCGAATTATATCAACGGTTGGTAAAAAGACATTTGAAAAGATTAGCTGTTTAGATTAACATGTAAATGACCTAAGGGTATACATATATTTCATAATAATAATAATAATAATAATAATAATAATAATAATAATAATAATAATAATAATAATAATAATAATAATAATAATAATTTAATAAAAGAAATAAAATTTAAAAAGAAAAAAAAAAACATATGGGGAGCCGAATGTTCGGCTCCCCTTAGTTTTGCCACTTTTCCCAAATCGGTGGGAAAAGTGTCATGTGAGCCTTGAGGCTCCTATAAAAGGAGACTTAAGGCTCCAATTTAAAAATTAATCTTGTTATTCATGGAGTCGAAATGACTCTACTGTAAACAATTTTTTTTTTTTAATATAGAGGTGTGTTGGGGAAATCATTCTAAAAAACGCTAAGTGAAAATATTGTAAATTGCAATGTTTGTGTTTTCAGTGGCTTGGAAGAAATTGTTGCTTCAAACTGTTGAATAACCAAACACTTACTTTAGCATTTTGATCTTTGGGTTACATCATATTTACCAATCGTTCAATATCTTTGGGTTACAGTATAATCAAAATTTTTAAATGTTTACTACTTCATCTAAATTCCTAAAATTAGGAATTTCTTTATCAATAATAATTTACTCAACAATAATGGTTGAACTAAATGAGCATTGAGCAAAACACCTAAAGGACTGGTACTGTTGATCTTGTATATGTGTGCATTCAATTAAATATATTAGAACCGTACCCTTTGCAACAAAAATACTTAGGTTACTATTTAAAAAAAGTTTAGTAACAATTATAATAAATCTCATACATTACATTGTATTCATATACTATGAGTTACATATTTCAATAAACAAATTCGACATTAAATTACTTATGTATGAACTTCTCGTATATAATCTTGTATTGATATAGTTTCAAACATTTATTAAATTATAAATATTGGGCATTAACTCATTCGCGCAATGCGCGTGTAAAAATAGTAATATATTGATATTTGTTTGTGTATGACCCTATAATGGGAATAAAGGTTTTAAAAATACAAAATCAAAAAATCAAGTTAATTGATCCCAATATAATGACATCCAAAATATCAATATGAACAAAAAAAAAATCAAAACAAAAATTTAAATTCAAACCTAAAAATTAAATTGTCCATAAAATATAATGATACCCGTTTTTAATTAAGGAATGAGATTTTTAATTCAAAGGAAAATCAAATCTCATAGTTATGTTTTAAAAAGTTGTCAACCAATGCAAAATTGAGCGACATAGAGTAGAGTTACCTTAAAGGAATGATAAATTTAATCTTTCTTGGAGTGATGAGTTCCCTTGCTTTAAATGGTAGAAAATTTTTATAGATTTATGGTTTGGTCTTGATATGCACCCGTGTATGACTAAAAGTAATGCAAAATTAAATAGATCAAATACAATTACCTAAAAAGAATGTGGGCAACGATGACAAATCCAGTCCCCATAGAAAGAAACAAGTTCACTTGATTGAAATAATAAAAATTCTTACAAATCTAGGGTTTGTTCCATGTTCCCCTACAAGACTAAAATTAACGCAAGTTATATGCTAGAGTATAATTATCTAAAAGGAAGATGAAAATGACACGCAAAAAAAAAAAAAAAAAAGAACAATAAAACGGTGTTTGTTGGAGGAAACTAGTCCACTTGCCTGAATTTACCAAACTGACCGAGAACTTTGTCAGGAAAGTGACACTCTACCATCTCGTACATAATGAGAGGAGACTTCGTCATTCAAACGTGCTCCCCTGATTAGTAATAATCTAGTACTTCATCTAAGTCATTTTCATATAGCCTCCATTCTATCAAGTATTGCATGTGTGACTAAATGCCTAATGCTCAAATTCATATAGCCTCCATTCTATTGATTATACTTCGACGACGACGAACAACACAAAAAATGTCCTCAAATTATTTTAGGGAATCTCCAATTGATGCACACACACAACACCATCCTTGCACATATCTTGCATTGAACTTCACAAATAGTGGTTTCTGGATCATGCCGGGATTACAGGTCACCGTAAACAGCTTCACTCACTACACCAAATATGGCATTTAGCGACGGTTTTTTTTTTTTTTTTTTTTTTTTTTTTTTTTTTTTTTTTGTTTTTAAAATTTAGCGGCGGTTACAAACCGTCACTATTGCGTTTAGTGGCGGTTAGTGAACCGTGTCTAAATAGTGTGTCGCGAAGATTTTAGCGGCAGTTTTCTACAACCGCGGGAATTCATGGGAAACTTATTTAGCGGGGGTTTTGAATGCATTTAGCGGCGGTTTTGAACCGCCACTAAATAAATCTATTTTATTTAATTTTACCTTAAATATTAGCAGCGGTTATAAAACCGCCGCTAAAATATATTTTTATTTTTTAACATAAATATTAGCGGCGGTTTTAAAACCGCTGCTAAAATATATATATTTTTTAAAATTATTTTCTTATTTAATAATTGTGATATTTTCAAATTGCCACTAAATTTTTCATTTTATTTTTTATGATTCTCATTCAAATTTGCATTGCAACCACAAACAAATTCGTATACACATTTAATTCAAAAGAAAATCAATTGTAATAAGTATTTGTCAAATAATAACATCAAACAATATTCAAGTACTTTCAAAAAAAAAAAAAAAGTACATATTCAAGTATTGAAAGTCTACAGAACTCGCTGAACTTAGCTTCTCTGGAGCTATGCTCACTCCGGACTAGATCAACCAACAACTGTGAAGCATACTTTTTAAAACAATACACAAAGAACTAAAGAAGTCCTAGTTGCCAATTCTTCCTTCTTGGTTGAACCCAATGGGGGAATCCAGTGAAACCTTGGCTTGTTGACTGCTTGCTACTGGATATATGTAATGGTTGGGTTCATGGTGATGATGATTTCCTCTGGGTTGGGTTCAAGTGCTTTGTACTCGGGGGGGGGGGGGGGGGGGGGGGGGGGGGGGGGGGGGGGGGCATTTTCTGGTGAAGGTCGGAGAGGGGATGCTTCGTCCGTAGAGGTGAAAATACTTGGGCATACTGGACGAACCAACCCTAATCAATTTGTCCTCCCTCTACATCCTTTGCGTCTTTTGGAACACTGGATGGTGGCGGCTCATTCTTCAAAATCATCATCTTTTTTCATATACAGACCGAGTTGTTCTAAAGGATTACTGCCTGTAAATTTGAAACTGCCTAAAGCATCCAGCGAATTTTGTGGGCTGGACTCATTTAGAGGGCTATGTTGTTCTGCAGGGCCTACCGTCAACATCTCCAATTCCTCAAGGAACCGGGAATTCTCATTGATTTCAACGGTCTGTTCCATCTGTGCATATAACCAAAAGAAAGTTCAACATACAGCCCAAAAGTGTATGACAGAGTGCTTATCTCTGACTTGAGAAGGTGTCAACTTACCTTGAGCAGTGCTTGCCTTGCGGCTTCTCTTTTCTCAAGCCTTTAAAATTGTGTCTGGAAATCTGTTTTTCATGAGCCTTTCTAGACATGAAGTGAAACTGGCCATGTACAAGTAACTACAAGCCCAGTAACAAGAAAATACACAGCTTTTTAGAGGTAAGGAAGGGAGTTTGGAGGACAAAGGACTTACCATCACCATCAGTCAAATTATTAACACCTTTTCTATCTATTATGCTTGCTGCAAGACAAGCCTGATCCTGCAAGCACATAAGACCAATAGTTTTTTAATTAACCCTAACCATATCAGGTTGATACATACAAGATAGGATAACTTCAGGATGTTATAACCATCACAGTTTAACATGCAAATATAAGGTAATAATTATACCTGCTTTGTGAGAGCAGATGCTTTGTGTCCATCTGAGTCATCATCAGAAGAACTACTAGAATCTGAATCTGCAACAAATACAGATGCAAGATCATTAAAACACAGGCACAGGAAATGCAACCAAATCAGCAATTGATAGTCGTCTTGATACGTAAGTTCACCTTATATAATATTTTTTTCCTCCATTACATATATCCAGTAGCTTGTACCCCTTACCTAAATACATCTGGCCTCTGATCATAATCAACATGCAAGCCAGTTGAAGAATCTTGCCATTTAGTTTCTGTAAGATCACCCAAGAAAAGTATATAATAAGATAACAAAAAAAAAAAAAAAAAAAAAAAAAAAGGCACCATAATTTGCAGAACTAATGAATTACCTAAGTTAAGATCAAATAAAAATAGTTTTTTCTCATCAGGAGTCCCTGGCTGACCAAGCAAGAAGTTTTCAGGTTTAACATCATATCCCCATGAACATACCTGCCAAAGCTCTTGTACATTAGTCAAAATTATGTAAAATTTTCTAAATTACCTCTAATTAAAAAGAACTAAAACAGGTGAAATGTTAAATGAGAATCTCACCCCCTTAAGTGAAGCTTCTCCAATATTGAAATAGCTTCTATAGCAATGCAGGCTACCATTTCAATGGACATCCTGTGAAACAAAAACTTGATATTGCTGACTTACATGGTACAATGATGATAGAAATATCCTTCACTCAGTGTATTTATACTTACGTGTGAGAGTTATTATTCCAAACATCCCATAAACTTGGCCCAAGCATATCCATTACCTATAGCAATTAAAAATTACATGTATAATACACTTAATAGCAGGATTGCATGAAATAGACTCCATATCATTCACATGACTATGTACACAATTTCCAAGTAATGTATATATAATTATATACCAGGAGGAAAAGGTGTTTTCAAGACATACCCATTATATAATAGTCACCTTGTTGGCCTTTATAGGGCACTCGTGCCTTTATAGCAATTATCTCTTGTCACTCCTCTTCTGAAAGTCTGCTTCTCAATTCACCAGCCAAATGTATTAGTGAAGATACACCAGTACTTGCAGGACCCTGGCCATCTCACTTTAGCAACCTACATTAAGCAGCCACAGTAGCTACTTTCCTATCAAAAGGGTATCACCAGATGAGAAAGAGAATGGCAAAATAGCTACTTTTATATAGTAGAAGCCAATAGTTCTGAGAAAAAAGAGCAACAACATTAAATTTTTCCAATAGTCAAAATAACATAAGGATCACTTGTTAACAATAGCAGATCAAATCATAACAAATATTCTAAAACAAAGACAAGATTCGAACAAGACTGAAGAATCTTGGTTACCCCAATGAATTTGTTAGGTTCAGAGGCTTTCTGTCTGCATTCATTGTGCTATGCAAGGCGCTTGTGGCAACTGTGCTTTTTGTCATCAAATTCTGCCACCATATGAAACCTGCATGATAAAAGTCCATTTATTGTACATGCCATGATAGAGGATATGAATGCCTATGTCCATTATATAGCTGCTGCATTGTTCGCAGAAGTGCTACTCAGTACCATTAATAAACACTTGCATTGGGTAGCCTTAGAATGCCCGTTACATCCTTTAGAGGAGTTAAGGTCCCTGTTAGAATCATATTCATCGGTCAACAAATGGAACTAAATTAATTTGTTTGATATATTCAAACTTTTGTACCTTGGTCGACTCTTACCTATGAACCTTTTAAATCGTGGCATACCTGCACATCAAACAAAATAAATTAATTAGACAATTTATATGTATAAGAAGACAAATGTATAAAATGTGTTAACACATAGTAATGTATTAAAATATACCTAGATCATCTCAACCTGTAGAATTTAAGATGATGTCAACTGATCCAAAAACTATTCTTTTTTGGCTATGACTCCACTTCAACAATTAGGATAAAAATTTACCTCCATACCAAGCAAACTTTAGTATACACGATCTGCAAAGAAAAGGAAAGAATAAAATAAAAACAATATCCATGATTTTTAATAACCAAAAGGGAAAAAAAAAGAAGAAATTTTTAAGTCATACAATAAGTTATAAAGGTTTCAAGCTGATTGCTCTAGGGCCCTCTGAATTCTGCATTAGACTGATGCTCCAAGAATCAAATGGCGAAAATTGCGTAGAATAGGATGGCTGAAGTTACTACCCACGTGTTCCTAGTGAAAGGCTTCAGAAACATCCATGCTTTCTTAGATTTTTCATACTCCACAAGAACTATCATTGTCAAGCTTGACTCTATATATGACAATGTGAACTCCACGTCTTTTGATAAGTCTGCGGGCTGGGATTTTTATGTCACCAACAATAGCATCATAAGTCTAGCATTCAACAGAGAAAGGTTAGATTCATCTCTTTACTTGGTTTTGTCAAATGTTAAACAAACAATCTCTTTTGAGGTGAGGATCGATAGTAAAAATATATTATGCATAACTTGAATGGTTTAGTCAATCAAAACAAAAGAACATATAGTGTAACACCCCATGTTACAACCTTCAAATCCGAATTAATTATTAAATTAATCCTGTTACTTAAAGTAATTAAAAGGAGATGCCAAACGATGGGTTAAGCTCCTAAGATCGTTTAATCCAATTATAATTTTCCTAATTAACCCGGACGGTCCACAATGGATCGTGGACCTTTATCGGAACCAGGAACCTTAAGCCCATAGGGAATAGGGAAACATGCCATTACAATTTAGACTCTAACTAGGTCTCTCTTAAATGTATAAATAGGGAATTAGAAAGCAAATAGAACCTTCCTCTCCTCTCCCTCACTTGAAATACTCTCAGGTGATCCAGCCAGGGAAATCCCCCACCATCAAGCCTAGGAAGATCGATCGGTAGAAGGATCTTAGAGGAGAACTTAGTAGCTAAGGATATTGATTAGGGCTAAGAGGTAACCCATGTCTCGACAAAACCTATTTTCCTTGCTATATCTTATTCATTGGCTCATTTGATAATCGTATGTGTAATTCTGTGATTAAGTATTGATAGAGCCTTGCCTAGGGTTTATATTGTGCTTATGTGATAATCTTGCTGTTCTTGATATGATGATTGATTATGTCTAGAGCCCTAGGGTTTATGTCATGGATTTCGTATTATGATGTTTTTCGGGTATTTGGGTGGGATTATGCATGATCGGGTGTTGAGTCTAGCCTAGGACTTGTGTTTAGGACTTAGCATATAGATTTCTGGATATTCGTGTGGTTCCGGATGCTCCTGAACCGTTATATGATTAATGTTGAGTCTTGACGTGCTTAGGAGTCGTGTTAGAACGTATTCGATGTGATTCTTTATTTAATTCCGTTAATGGAATACGTTGTGTTATCGATATGTGTGTGAATGTGCCTGGACATGGTTTCGGGTTTCACGAGTGATCCCGGGACCGAAAAGTTTCCTGTGTACCAGTAGTAGGTGGGGGGGGGGGGGTGATCACCCGCTGCCCTGGAACACTGTTCCAGCCGGCTGCCGGCGGGTGGTGGTCTGCCCACCAGCCACCCACTGGAATAGTGGGTAGCCGCCGGCGGGTGGTCCTCCACCCGCCACCTACCTGCTGGAATCTTGGTGTAGGACATGATGTTTTCCCCCGTTTGTTGTTTCCCCGTGTCCCGTTGTACCCCGTTTGTCGTGTATGAGTCTCATTTAGTGTTTAGGGTATCGTCCAAGGAATTCATGTGTAATACGTATCGTTGTTGTTGTGTCTTGATTGTTATTTGATTATGTCTTGATTGATTGAACGATGATGAGTATCGTGGTCATTGCGCAATGACCGGTGCGAATGATGATGATGATGATGAGATTTTGATTGGTGGAAATGAATTGTTGGAGATTGGCACCACTTGTGCCCGGTCATTGTACTAATGGTACTGGCCATAGCGGTGACTGTGCTGAAGGCACACACCCACCTTAGACTTGCTTACCGTTGAGCATGGGCTAGGTTATAAGTGCTGCGGTGTCATGTTAGAGCTATATGCGCTAATCCCTTGATATTGGCACTAGAGGTGCGGATCATTGAATGGCACTGCGGCACCATCTTGATATGTTGGTGGTTGATAGGCGGTTTGTCGGTGGGGGCATGTAGTTGCCCGGAGGAATAAGAGGTGGTGATGTTCAAACTATCTAATGACGGCAACCTCCGCTATAAGGAAAGATGGTGCATACCTGCAACAGACCCGCACCTAAAACGACAACCTAGAGGAAGGGCACAGTTCACCTTACTCCGTGCACCCCAGAGTCGATAAACTGTACCAAGATGTGAAGAAGTTGTTTTGGTGGCCCAACATGAAAAGGAAATAGAAGACTTCGTGAGCAAATGCCTGAACTGCCAAAAGGTGAAAGCCGAGCGGTGCAAGCCCAAGGGAGTCATACAGCCCCTCGAAATACCCCAAGGAAAGTGGGATTTTATATAAATGGACTTCGTCGGAGGTCTACCCGCGATACCAACAAGGAAAGATAAAATCTGGGTAATAGTTGATCGACTGACCAAAACAGCGCAATTAATTGCCATGAAAGAGACTTGGACATTGGCACAATTAGCCAGAGCCTACCTAAGTCAGGTAGTCAAATATCACGGATGTAACACCCCCGATTTTACCATATTTTAAAAACTTAATTGCAAGCAAAAATCAATCTAATAAACCATTAAACCAAAGCGGAAGCAAGTCTATACGGGGGCATTACCCCACATCTTTAATACTAAAAGATGCACAGGCGGGAAAAACTAAACCATTCCTCAAAGTCTACAGAGTCAAGGCACACAGACCGCTAAAAACAGGTCTAGACAAAGGATAAAAACTATCTAAGCTCCAGTCTAGCACTCTCGGTCTCTACTAAAAACCTGTAGAACAAGGAAAACATAACATGGGGATGACACCCGGTCAGCGAACATTGCTGGTAACCCATCAATACGCGTAAAATAGCATATATAGATAAGTATAAGTCAAAACCATTTTCGAAACGGAATACAGTATATATCATTTCAAAAGCCATAGAGAGAAGTCAACTTCAAAGACTCATTCACACTCTCAAAGGAAAGGAAATCAACATCCTTGCGACGACAACAAGACAAGAAACGTGTAAGACAATACAACTAGAGATGTATTCTACTGATCACAAAGTAGAATACATCAAGACATGCTCATTAGCAAAGAATACACATTCACACATTGGCAACTACATGCCACAGTGACAACTACATGTCACAAGTTTCATAGTTCCAAGTTCCAACCTTATGCCCTGTTCCAACCTTATGGCTACCCCCGGCCTTATTTCAGTTCCAACCATTACCTCCTTGTGCCACCCTGTACTTCTAAGTCCAGCCTTATACCGCCAGGGACCGTCGTCCCCCCTCCAACATAGCCTCCAACATACCACCTACATATGAGTACACGAGGGTACTATTCATTTCATTCACACAACCACCTACATATGAGCCTACGCTCAGGTAACACCACCAATTTCAATCATAGTCACACAAGTCATCATCATTACCAAGAGGACTAAGGTTCAACAATAACCTTAATCAAGTATCAACCAAAGGGTACAACGATTACATACGTTCACATCATAGGAATCAATCAATGGATCACAACAAAGACATGAAACCATACTCATCAACGAAGGATCATAGTTTGACACCAAACGATGGTCAACACAAGTTGCCAATCTCAATAGGATAGATCAAATTGCACACACTAGCAATTGAACATCAAACTAGCATGCTTATAAAACGGGTAAACCAAAAGTAGTCCCATAGAACATTCAAGACTCAACATCAATCCAACGGATCACAAAGTTGGACCATAAGCACGATTCAAGACACCAAATCCTAACATGGATTCCTAACTCATCGTTCTAGACCTACGAAACATCAAGAAGATTCACAAATAGCCCAATAAAACATCATCGGGAGGTCAAAACATCAATACCGACTCAAAAGAATCACGGGGAACAAATTCCCGCC